CAATGCCTTAAATGACATTGTAGTTGCCTAGGGAAAAAAAAGTAGCATTATGCCACACAAAATCTCTATGTGAGTCATTTATATACAAACAAGAGACATACTCAATGAGCATATCAATAGGGAACAAACAGGCTTTCACAAATGGTATTCAACAATGACTGAATCTTTACTGCTTTGTAAAAGACTGGAAAAATGCAGAGAACATAAAATCCCATTATGTCTATCGCTTATGAAAAAGTATTTGACTTGGTAAAAGGATTTTTTCCAACAAGTTATCTCCCATGCATATATTAAAATCATTTAAGATACTGGAAAACAGAAAAATAGAAAAAGCACTGTTCAATGACCATAAACATCAGAGGAGGCATGAAATAAGGAGATACATATTTGCCAAAGATGTTCACTACTGTGAAGTAGGAAGGAATGCAGCATGCAAGCTGAAGAAAGTTTTTCTGTAGATGGCTCCTGTATATAGATTACACTGTCCTGGTTGGTTGCATCCAGCCCAAGATCACTACAGAGTATCAACACGGAGATCTGTAACTACTCAAAAGAGTTTGACCTGACCAGCCATACAGAAAAGACCAGGTAGATAAAGATTGTCTATTTCCTGGATTATGACATGCATCTGGACAGGAAACCCATAAAGGCTGTCCATTTTTGTAAATAGAGAAATCATTTACTAAGCTTTTAGTATATGCCAGGCATTTGATATGATAATATAATATAATATCCCAGCCCTCAGGGAGCTTACATTCTAATGCGGGGAATACAACTCATGAAGGAAGACTAGAAAGGAATTGGGAGTGAAAGGGAATACAGGTGTGGCAGGATAACATAGAGATGGCCAAAAAGTGGCATGGAGCCCTGGTTCTCAGCAACATAAGGCAAAAGCTCACCTATCTGAGCTTGGGGACCCAGGGGAAATGTTCAAAGCTCTTGTGGGAAGATAAGGTTGATGGCTGAAATACAGGCTGTGCGGTGTGGAGATGGTCAGGACAACAAAATGTATCCAGAGTCAAACAGGAGATAGAGAGTGGCCTGGATGACCTTCAGAAAATTGCAAAGCCCCTTTACCAACTCCAAGCTTTTCATGGAAAAAATGCCCATTTTTTAATACTGGCATTCTACCAGGAAAGCTTTATGACAGTGACTCATAGAATATAACAATCTCTGAAGAAACAGAAAATGAAAAGCACACAGAGGGCAACTAGAGAGGGTCATAGTGGAGGGTGAGCAAGCTGCTACATATAACCAAGAAGGAACATCAAAAAATGAGAGTGAAAGATGTCATCAAGGAAATCAACCTAGGTAGAAAAGACAGGTTAGTCATTCAGTGAGGAAAAAGGATAATAGGGGAATGAACAGTGACCTCCTACTACCCTTATAATGTCAGAAGAAAGCAAAGAAAGACTCCAATATGTTGGGTAGAGCTCCTGTGGGGAAGTTATAGCTGGCAAGAGTTGCATAGGATAGGTAGGCATCGATGAATTGTTGGGAACTCCCAAACCAATGAAATCACAAATCCATTTGAGTACTTGAGTATCAGAGGTCATTTGGTTCAAACTCCATTGAAATAAGAATCCCATCTGTAATGTTCTGCACCACCTGCCTCACTTCCCCCAATTTAGACTTTGTTCAAATCCCTTCAAATTCATTATCTTGGGAAGAAGCACCTTCCATTTTTACTTTATAGATTTTTAACCTAGGATCTATAGACTCCCAAAGGGTCTGTGAAGCTAGATGGGAAAAAAAATTACATCTTTATTTCATTAACTTCTAACTGAAATTTAGCATTTCTTCAATGAAGAAGGTACATGATAAACATTATTTTGAAAAGGAGTCCAGAAGCTTCAATAGACTACCAAAGATTAATACAAACATTGCTCTAATTGCTAGGAAGTTTTTGCTTATGTAAAGGTGAAATCTGCCTCCCTGTAACTTCATAATCAAAGAATCTCAGCATGGAAAGGGGCTCAGTTTCATCAAATATAAATAATACCTAAAGTTTTTGCACAGACAAAACCAATGCAGCCAAAATTAGAAGGAGAGCAGGAAACTACTGAAAATTTTTTACAGTAAGTTTCTCTATTAAAAGTCTCATTTCTCAAATATATAGGGACCTAAGTCAAATTTGTAAAAATAAGAGCCATTCTCTAATTGATAAATGGTCAAAGGATATGAACAAATAATTTTCAGAAGAAGAAATAAAAGCTATGAAAAGTCATATAAAATGTTTTAAGTCACTAATAATTGCAGGAATTATTTAAAACAACTCTGTAGTACCACCCCACAGCTACCACATTGGCTAAGATGTCCAAAAAAGGAAAATGAAAAATGCTGAAGAAAATGAGGGAAAATAAGTATACTAATGGATTGTTACTGTACCTGTCAACTGGTCCGTCCATTCTGGAGAGCAATTTGGAACTATATCTAGGGGTCTAGAAAACTGCATTCTCTTTGACCCAGTAATACTTTTACTAGGTCTGTAACCCAAAGAGGTCAAAGAAAAAGGAAAAGAAACCATATGTACAAAAATATTTATAGTGGGTTTTTTTTTGTGTCAGCAAAGAATTGGAAACTGAGGGGATGCCAATCAATTGGGGAATGGCTGAACAAGCAGTAGTATGTGATTTTGATGGAATACCATGTGCTATAAGAAATGATGAAGGTTTCGGAAAAACCTGGGAAGACTTAATATGAACTGATGTAAAGTGAAGTGAGCAGGACTAGGGGAACACTGTACACAGTAACAGTAACATTGTAAGGATAACCAACATTGAAAGACTCAGTTACTCAGATCAATACAATAATTCACAACAATTCCAAAGTACTCATGATGAAAAATGCTATCCTCCTCCAGAGAGAGGACTGATGTACTCTGAGTGCAGACTGAGGCATATATTTTTTTGTTTTCTTTCCTTCCACCCGCTCCCCCCCCCCCAACATGGCTAATGTGGAAACGTTTTGCATGACTTTATAGGTAAAATGTGTATAGCTTTTCTTGCTTTCTCAAAGGAAGGGGGTGAGGGGAGAGAATTTGGAACTAAAAATTAAAAAATAATACCTGACTGAGAATTTCCTTTACAATATGCTCAAAGGTAATCAAGCTAGCACTGAAAGATATACAGTGTTGGGGAATATACTTCATCCCAAGGCAGTCCCGTTCCACTCCTGAACAATCATAATTATTAGGAATGTTTTTTTTTTTTATAAAAGCTGAAATATGCTTCTCTGTCATTGGGATCCATTACCCCTATCTGTTTTCTAACGTTAAGCATGAAAAGTATAATTCCACTTTCAAAAGTTTTTCAAATACTGTGTTTCCCCTTTGTCTTCTCTTATTTAGGCTAAACCTTCCCAGTTTCTTCAACTGGTCCTTGTGTAAAATGTCTTCTAATCATCTATCAACTTGTTTGTTCTCCTTCCTAAACTGCTACTTAAACACCCAGTGCCCAGTCACACTCATAATCTATAATATTCCTATCAGTTCTTAATCCTTGTACTTCTTGTGCCTCTATTAATGTTAGCTTCTTTGGTTGCTATGTCACACTGTTGACTTATTGAACAGTTCACCAAAAAGCTTCATTTTTTTAACTGTCATCTATCCATGCCTACTATACATTCTCCATACTTGCTAGAACTGAGTTGCTCAATTTGCTACCATTTTTGCTACCTCTTGGGACTATCACTGACTCCGTTTTTCCTGGTTCCAACTAACCACATGGAAACTTAGGGGATAAAAGGGAGTATTTCATGCCATGTAAAATTCAGGAGCTCGCACTGTGAGAAGATGAGAGTTCTTTAACAGTCTGCTGAGCAGAAAGAACTGATAATTCAATTGCTTGCAATGGGATACAAAAAAAGATTTACTAATTGGTTGCTGGACTAGAAACTCAGTGGATATATGAAAGGGATTATATGCTCAACCACTTTTTACTCTTTCTTTTCAGCTTTGAATGGTGAAGATCATTCAGAGCTGTATCCAGATAGTCAACTAGGGGAAGTCCAGTTGCCCTATCACCAGAGCAAGAGAGAGATGAAATGTATAAGTAGCTAAGTAGCAGTCTCGCTAATTATATTATAATTTTTATATATATATATATATATATATTATATATATATATGTAAAATTATATCCCAGTAAGGTTCAAATATTAGCTTCTTGGATCACTGTATTAGTAGTATAAATTAGTTACTCAATTATGTTTAAATTGTTCTACTGATGCAGAAGTCCTTTTTTAAGCTACAGTTGCTTTTTGTGGAGGAATAAATGATCTACTGTATACCCAATTTATATTGTATACAGAGCACCACTTTTTCTACTTTTGTGGGGAGAACTGTATTCCTGTCAGCATTTCTTCTACATGAAATGTGCATGTTTTCCTTCCTGACTTGACTGAAGTTTTTCAAGAAAAGAGTATATATCTTCCATTTCTTTTGTATCCCTTTACCTGACAAAAACTTATTTGATTAGTGCTCTCTCTCCAGAGCTAGTACTCTAAAAATGCTGACTTTTGAATCTCTACTGTTTTAAGAATCTTGTTGTCAATTTATATGAATGATTAAGAAGTATAAGTGAAGGAGTCTGAATCTTTCCCCTTCTGAAGTGTTTACTCATAAGATGGTAATAATCCAATACTTATATGTATCGTAGGCTATTTACAAGCAGAAAAGAAAATGAAAGCTAAAGAAAGTGATTAAGTACAAACAGCAATTCTCTGACAGGAGCTACTGTCCAGGTTGCTGATTCATTTTAAAGCAGTCCAATCAAGGTTCTGTACCTGTGACCCTGTCATCTATTAATATTTGGAAAGTGGTTCTTCTCTTAAAAGGACAAGATCTAGGAGAAGGAAAGATGAATCCTCCTTGCCCTGCACACACGCACATGCGCGCGCGTGCGCATACACACACACACACAGACACACACAGAGTCTAGTAAGCACATTGTAAATTCTTCTCCAGATACAATGAAGAGAATCAAGTTAAATGACACATACTTTTCAGGGAAATTCTCCACAGAAAAAGCTGTCTTCCACTGATTCAGCACTGAGAAATCTTCCATTTGTAGAGTTGTGGGGACTGAGACTAGAAGAGAAAATAGAAAAAAAAATTAGCCTCTGCAGTTTTCTTCCACCGTAAGTTTAAGGGACTCTGAATGTTTGAATTTTCCAGAATAGTGTGATCCTTATCTTTTCCCAGATTTATTTTCCTGATGATACATGATTCAGTAATACTGAAATACTTCCACTCTGCTACAGCAAAACATCTTTATAGCCCCATCAGATCACCATGCTCGCTCTCATCTTCCAACTTTGCTCATGCCCATCTTATGGAATACCCTTATCCTACCACTTTGCTCCAATCCAAATCCTACTCAAATTATTCTTATTTTATACTGCTTTCCAAAAGGTTCCAGTCCACAATGATTTCTCCCTCCTTTACCCATTCTCCTGAATGCAGCACTTATTTATGTCACTCATTTTTAGACAGAACCAAATGCCGTTCAATATTGTTATTTATATGTTTTATGTATATATATTTCTTTTCTGCAATTAGACTAACTAAACTCCTAAAAGCAAGAACTATTAATTTTTTTTTGCATCCTCAAAACAGGCTAGTAGATAGGTCTTCTGTAAATGCTTGGTAAAACAATGGATGAGGTTTTATGAGAAGCCTTCTAAAAGATAATAGGAGGCTTGATAAAATTCATTCTTCATCTTTTTCACCTTTAGGGAAAGTACCAATTTCTTAAATATGTCTTAATAAAAATAATAATACCATCTTTTTAAAATTAAAAGTTTATCACTACATTAGAATTTAGTTTTTAGATCTTAAAGTGGACCATTATGTCAAGTGAAGATGTACTTGTATATTTTATTATCACATTTTACATATCGGTGTTAAAGATGAGCAAAGATATACTTAACATTTAAACTTATAGGGCTTAATTTACACATTTTGCTTGTACTATGGTATATGTACAGTTCTGTATCCCAAACTTTCTTGCTTAAAGGCTTCCAAAAATATCAAATTAAGAATTTCTTGGAGTTCTGCTCATTACTGGGCCCTAACCTAGCTTTTAAGATCATTATCAGTTAGAAGAAAAACACCATACTTGCCAAATACTATTAAAGGTCTTAAGTGTTCTTTTAAAACAAATGTTTAAGGGTAAAAACAGGAGAGAAAGCATACCTGTTGTCCATGGCTTTCTAAATTTTTCATCAGCAACAATTCCAGCATGACAATTATACTCATCATGATGTAAATATGAAGGAATATGAAGCAATAATGATCTAATGTTTAATTTCTTTCTAACCACATCCTGTGAGAAGAAAAATAGAATTATAGAGCCTTCTAACATACTACTTGATACACCAATATATCTTAGTATCACTGCCTACAATCATAAGTGCATCTTTGTCTTTAGCTAGTACTTCTAGTTCTTTAGGTAAATGTGCTACACTTAAGGTTTTATACTTCAGTACTTCTAAATATTATTACTATAAAATTACAAATAAAATGCAAGTGTTAAATATGTCATGGTAAATATAGCTCATTAAAGTCAATTTAACAAACTCAATCATTTGGATCAGATCACTAAAATCATCCCCAAGTAATGGCATGATAACTACAAAGATAAAGACACCTTTCACATTCATTTTTAATTACTAGAGAATGCAGTTTTCTGGAATATAAACTTCTGGTTTGAAAATTTTATTTTAATGTTCTTAATAGATCAGGACATCATAAAACTCATTCTTCACTTGAAAAACCATGTATGTGGGGGAAAAGGTGAAACGTTTATAGCAAGGTAAAACAATGAATTACAATTGCATTTATACTTCCATTGGCTATCATTTGCTCATATGAACTGTCATTATTTTTACCTACAGTAACATATTTTAATTTTTAAAGTAACTTTGAATTTCACAAAGCTGCATTTCCATGAGATATGGATATAAATATTTACTTAATGATATATAATTATATATATATATAACATATAATTTATATATATATATATATATATATATATATATATATATATATATATATATATATATATAAAGGGTTTATTTAAGTTAGGAAAATGTTGTCTTTTATAATACTGCTATACTCAAATGGCTCTATTAATTCATTGGTATTAGAAGTTTCCTCCAATGATATTCAAAATTCACGAGTTCATGAGTTCAAAACTCATCCATGCATGCCCACTCTGTGTTACTCTTCCATGTTCTTCCATGTTTGCCATAGTGATCCACTCAACATGCTGGAGACTTTCTTCCATTTCCCCTTCCATCAAGAGGGTACCACTGGGGCACTCAGGCTATCTCCCTATCATCTCTTGCCCTCGCAATGAGACTAGCCCATTTTCTCTTCCTAGCATTTATTTCTTTGATGCTATCTCCCACTCCCACTTCCTAAGTCTCTCCTTCACTCACACCATGAACCTTTTTTATAATTTGCTCCTCTCCTCACAATCTATGATCCAGCTTTACCAGCCTACTTGTTGTTCCTCACACATAACACTCTGTCTCTTAACTCCGCCTTTGCAATGGCTATCTTCCTGGCCCAGAATGCTCTCCCTTCTTATGCTCTGTGGCTTCCCTAGGTTACTTCAAGGCTCAGCTTAAATCCCACCTTCTGCAAAAGATCATTGCAGTTAAGCCTTTACTTTGAGATTACCTTCCATATGCTCTGCATCCATCTTGTTTGTACACAGTTCATTACATGTCATCTCCCCATTAAACTCCAGTGGTTCCCTATTGCCTCCTGGATCAAATAAATAATGCCGTGTTTGGCATTCAAAACCTTGCATGACAACCCTCTCCTATTTTTCCAGTCTTCTTACACCTCACCCCTTGACACTCCTGGCTGTTCCATGAACAAGACAATCCATCTGTCAGCTCTGGTCATTCTCTTCTGACTATCCCGCACGCCTGGAACCCTCTCCTTCCTCCAGTCTACGTACTGATCTTCCTGTCTTCCTTTAAGTCACCACTAACATATACTGTATAGATTATGTGGCTATAGTGCTTTGCTAAATCCCCACTACAATGCCTCCACTTAATGTACCCAACCTGATCCCCAGCCTCAATTGTAGGTCAATGAAATAAAATATTGGCTCATCCTATTAAGTTAGAAAGACTTGGAGTATGGATTCTGTGATAGTCTATGTGTATTGTCTGAGGCATACCAAATTTAGCATGACGTATGTTAGTATCAGAATGTTAGTATAGCAATTCATGAAACGGAACAAAAAAATCAAAGCATCAAAAGTTAAAATGTTATAGCGGCTCTCTCTGTGGTGGCGAAGAATGAAATTGAGGGGATGCCCATCAACTGGGGAACGGCTGACCAAGTTGTGGTGTATTATTGTAATGCTATATTATTGTGCTCTAAGAAGTGACAAGCAGGATGATTTCAGAAAAACCTGGAAAGACTTACAAGAACTGATGCAAAGGGAAGTGAGCAGAACCAGGAGAACATTCACACAGTAACAGAAATACTGTATGATAATCAACTGTGAAGGACTTAGCTATTCTCAGTAATACAATGATCCAAGACAATTCCAAAGGACTCACGATGAAAAATGCTATCCATCATCAGAGAAAGAACTGATGGAGTCTGAATGCAGAGCAAAGCATATAATTTTTAACTTTTTTTTCACTTTTTGCCTTTTGGTCTGTGTCTTCTTTCACAATATGACTAATATAGAAATATATTTTGCATGATTGCACATGTATATCAAATTGCTTCCCATCTCAGGGAGCGGGGAGGGCAAGGAGAGAGAGAGAAAATTTGGTGTTCAATTTTTAAAAAATGAATGTTAAAAATTGTATTTACATGTAGTTGGGAAAAAACAAAATATTATTAAAGGTTAAAATGCTTATCTTATAGTGAAGGTTCAAAGCCTCCAATGGAGCTCTTGAACTCTTATATACACACACAAATGCCTTGTTGCAGGATCTGGATTATTTTTCACATTTTACATTTAACCCATGGCCTGACCTTTTCTCCCATCCTCCCTCTTCCCTCCCCCACCAGCAAGTTCTAGGCTGTTGTGGACTCAGTCCAATTTTGGAGCTGACCAAAAAGATTACTGTCTGATGCAATTCATCTTCACTCCTAGAAATGTCTGAATACGGCTCTTGCCATCTCTGGTGATTCTCATCATGTCCACCAAAGTTTTAAAGTCCTTCCAACTCAGCTCTACCGTGGTATAGACACCGTTCAAATCAAAACCAAATTTTAGGTTGCCAATGACATTGACATTCTTATGAACCTGAGCTCTCTGACAGGATCTACTTAGACTTGTAACACCATCCTGTCATTTGGACTTCTCCTGGGGGGGTAGGCACACCTTGGGGTTAGTAGACCTGTACAATTTAAATAATTCAGAGTAATAGTAGGGAGCAAAACACAGATATTCTGCTCCTCCATGTCATTGCTTTAGTCTCTTATTGTTTTTGTAGCTTTGGGAGTGGAGAGTAGAGAGAAAGAGTCTCATACGGGTGTCCTTCTCTCTTCAGAAGACACACTGCTCAAAAATTCATCTCTAGAAGTCCAGATCTCTGAACTCTTAACCCTGGGATTATTCACAAGACAACCCCATTCCCATCACTGCTGATCCCTCCTCTGGCTGTAAGGCAAGGTTATGGCACCACCTTGGCTGAGAATCTTCTATCCTCTACTTGGGAGACAGAGGTTTAGGAATGACACTGTCCCTCAGCCATATAAGCAAGCACATGCAGCTCCCGTGTGTATGCTGTAGCAGCCAAAAAAGCTAATATTATCTTAGGCTGCATTAAGAGGCATCATTTCCAGAAAAAGGGAGGTGATAGTTCCACTGTACTCTTCCAGTGCCAGATCTCATTTGGAATTCTGGCCCCACAGCTTAAGGAAAACATTAATAAACTGGAGAGCATCCAGAGGAGAGCAACCAGGATGGTAAAGAGACCTGAGTCCATGACACCTGAGGATTAGTTGGAGGAATTGGGCATGTTCAGCACAGAGAAGACTCAGAAGAAACATAATAGCTACTTTCTTTTTTTTTTTGAGGCATTCGAGGTTAAGTGACTTGCCCAGGGTCACACAGTTAAGTATCTGAGGTCACATCTGAACTCAAGTCCTCCTGACTCCAGGTCCAGTGCTCTATCTACTCTGTCACCTAGCTGCCCCAAGACAGCTACTTTTAAAGTGTTTTAAAGATCCATGTGAAGGAAAGATTAGACTTACTCTGTTTTGTGCCAGAGGGCAGAACCAGAAACAATGGATAGAAATAGTAAAGAGTCCACTTTATGCTTGTTGTCAGGAAAAATTCCTAATAATTAATGTTGTCCAAACCTCATTTCTTGGAGAAGTGATGGGTTTCCCTTCCCTGGAGGTCTTTAAGCTGGATCTGGATTTACCACTTGTAGGGTATGTTATAGTGGAGATTCCTTCCATGTATGGGTTGGACTGGATGTTAAATGAGGTTTTGTCTAATTCTGTGATTCTACATTGCACTTTACTCACTTGTCCAGCTGCTGCCATTCCTCTGGCCATCTGGGCAAGAACATGTAGCCCCTATATGCTTCTGTCTCAAGGCAGTCATTAACAGCTGGTGGGGGTAGGAGGATTTAATCGTCAATTAAAACTGACAGCATTTAAGATGTCAGTCAGACAGTAATCACTTACTAATCACCTACTATGTGCCAGGCACTGTGCTAAGTGCTGGGTATCCAAATATGAAAAAAACAGTCCCTTTCCTCAAGGAGTTCACAATCTAATAGGGGAAAACAACACACAAAAGGAAGCTGAAAAGGGAGTGGGGGATGGAAAGGAAGATGACTGGCCTGGGTGCCCCTCCTTAAATGGAAGTTTCAGGAAACACTCTCCATTCTGCCTTTCATTCAGAGGGGCCTCAAGAAGAGGGAAGTTATGAAGTGTGACTTCTAGGACAGACTGGATCTTGTAGGATGAGGAGGTACCTGCGGGCATGATGAAGAAGTCCAAAGGATGGCAGCTGGGTGGGAAATGAAGAGGTGTCATCAACTGGAATGTCACGGAACAGTGTGAAAATAACTGCTCTAACAATTCAAAGAACCTATGATGAAAAATGCTATCCATTTCCATGGAGAGAATTGATGAACTCTAAGTGCAGGTTGATGTTTACTTTTCTACTTTCTTTACTTTTCTTGTTCTATTTTTTCTGGTTTGTGTTTTCTTTGGCAACATGGTTAACATGGAAATACATTTTGCAGGACTTCACATGTATAATGCATAGCAAACTGGATAAGAGGAGGAAAAGAATATGGGCTCAAAATTTTAAAAAATAAATATCAAATGTTTTACATGTAATTAGGAAATATTTAATGAAATAAATATGCCCACACACATATAAACTGCTCTGAGTAAAGGTTTACTTTGTAATACTGAGTCTTCCATTTCTCAACAATGAATGATGATAATGGGGATTCCTTCCCTGATCCTCAAGGCTTACATTTGTCAAACTGGATGATGATACAGAAATTTTCTTACTAATTATTAAATGTATATAACATTTGGAAAGGCATTTTTTTTTCTTGCTGAGAAGAGCAATATGTTTCGATTTCAGTTAAAATTCAGTTTAAAAGTTAAACTTATTTCTCACAGTGCATTAAGGTTTGGTGCATATTAAAGTAATCTAAAATCCTCAAATAGTAATTTCTTATGTTATTCCAAAACACCTATGTATTAAACACACTATAACACTTCACCTCCAATTTTTAGTAAACAGGTGAGAACAAGTAGCACTCTACCTCATGTAAATAGTCCACCGAGTGATATTTTAGTATTGTGAACATATCTTCTTTATTTCACCAACACAGCAAAAATATCTGGAAACACATAAAAGTTTTTTAAACTTCAATATAATTCCAAAAACCTGGACATAAAACATACAGAACTAGTTCTGTATTTAGTGAGCTGCTCTAATCACTCTGTCTCAAAAAATTTGGTATTTTATTTCTTATTTTTATATATTGTTTAAGGTAAAGTTAGCCAATTTTTTAAAAAGTTGTTTTAGTTTCTTTCATGTGGTGAATCAAAATGATGTCTTTTTTGAGTGTGTATTCACCAAATATCCACCTTAAAAAAATGTCCTGGGTGCATATGCTAAAGTTTAACTCTCTGAAATGTACAGTGCATGCGTGTGTATTTAATTTAGTATCGGCTTTTTATTACAAATTTCTAATTTTCTCATGTGAACGGCTTTGAATAATAAAAACTACCAAAAAAATCATTAGCTTAGAAGCTATTACAATTTCAAAATCTAATATGCAGATTTTATATACTGATATAACAAAAGTTACCTTTCAAATATCCATATACAATTCAAGCTCATAGGACACATTAAAAATACTAATTTTACTGTCAAGGTAGTTTGGTGTAGTAGTAAAAGCACTAGACAATGGGGAAAATCTTGTTTTGAATCCTAGCTCTTCCTATTTGCTGAGACCCTGTCACTTAATCTCTATAAACCTCAGTCTCCTACTCTGTGAAATGCAGGGGTTGCATTTGATGTCCCACATCCCTTCTTGCTCTCATGGCTTACAGTACAGTAGCTATAATGCAAGGCAGTCCACATTACCAAAATGGGATCCTCCTCACCCTCATGGAGCAGGATTTTGAAAACTATGCTCTCATTTTCATATTAATGAACAGTAGGGAGTAGAGTGGGAAACTGGGCACGTGATTTCATCAGTCAGCAAGTGAGTCAAGGGGGCATATATTTATTAAGTGCTTATTGCGTGTTTTGTTTACATACTTAGATTGAGGACGCAAATAAACAGATGTAAAAAACTCTCTCTCCCAATGCAGATCAGATCCTTTCTGCAACTTAGTCTTAGAGAACACTGAGAAGTTATAAGTGGTCTCCCAGTCAGTAAGTTCGTTTTTAGGTCAGTTCTATATCCACTCTCCCACACTACCTCTCACCAGTGAATCATCAGCTACAAACAATTATGCCAAATTTTACAACACACACAGTAAAATAAGCTGAAATGTAAAAAGGTCCTTACTTCAAAACATCTTTCAATCACTAGAAGACGGATGACCTTTACTTGGCCACTAGGTGGCGCAGTGCAGGATAAAATGCAAGTCTTGGAATTCAGAAGATAAAAATTCAAATCCTGCTTCAACAATTACTCTGATCAAGTCACTTAACTTGATCTCAAGTCATTTAATCGCCTTCTACCTCAGTTTTCTCATCTGTGAAATGGGAATAATAATAAAACAGCACCCACCTCCCAAGGTTGTTATAAGGATTAACATATAAAATACACGTTAGGTGGTAGCAGTAGTAGTAGTACAATGCTTCAAAGTGCTATAGAAATTAGTCTGCTATTAATTATTATTTGTAAAGTGCTTCAAAGTGCTACAGAAATGCTGGTCGTTAATCACTTCAAAGAAGGAAGGAATGTTCTCAAGAGTCATGGGTTCCTCTTGGGCTTTTAATTATGATTACCCAACAAACAAACATCTGGTTGACTCACAGGATTCTCTAGACCCACTTGGAGAGGCTCACAGAACACGAACGAGGTTGCGCCGACGTTTCGGCCAAGCTCCCACACTGCCTAGCGGCAGTAGACGAGGACCCGCTTATATATTTCCTCCGCTCGCGTGATTCCTCCGCTCCTGCAGGCACGCGCCCCTCCGTGGCCCCGCCCACTTCCGGGCCTTCTCGTCGCTTCCCTGGCAGCCTGGAGCTCTTCCCACCTATAGGCTCGCGTCACTGCACAAACTCCGCCCCTTTCCCTCCTCCCCTGTCCCAGAGAACAAAAGAGTCTTGGACTAGTCGGTTCTTTTAAGGACTATTCTTGTGCTGGGCGGTGGCAAAGAAAAGCGCCCTTCTCTATACCGCACAAGAGGCATAGAACCTAGGACAGAGCCCTGGGATCAAAGAACTGCGATTAAAATTTCCTGTGTAAATTTCCCTAAGCCTCAGTTACCTCATTTATAAAATGGGTGGACTAGGTGGTTTCTGAGGTCTTTTCTAGACCTTGTGAACTTGGAGATCAAGGGAGGGGAGATCTTGATGCTCACAAAGGAACTCTTAATTTTTTAGATAACTGAGGCACTGTCCTTTGATTGAGGGAATTAAAAGCCAAAGACCAACTCTACTAATTTCAATACCTGCAGGCAGAATATTTTGACAAAAAAAAATTGAGATATGTAGGAAGAAATCATGAAGATAAAGAGGGAATGTGGATTTTAAGCTTTAAAGTAATGAGCAAAAACATTTTTCAAATTGTACGTTTGGAGGAATAGTGAAAATGAGTTCTGCTGATTGAGACATTGATGCTTCGTGGGGAAGAATTATAATCACTTTTACATACTTTTATGCTTTTACATGCACAATTACATTGCACTTTTAGATAACTCAAATGTGAAAGAGGACAATTTTAATTAGTTTGTGGCTGAGTAAAACGTGAAGATATTTGATGATGTACAGCTCTGAATCTAGGACCCTTATTTCTGGGAGAATTATTTGATAGAGAATCAACATTTTTTGAAATTTGAGCGCTGGCTGCAATCAGTTAGAATTGGGGAGTCGCTGAAAGGAACACACCTAGACCTTCAGAAAAATTTAATAGTTACATTCTATCAATTAAGGTAATATTTATTGAATAATATGCAAGGAATAAGGTAACATAATGAACTTAAGACAAGATTAGGGACTGAACCCATTGGTAGAGGATGAGGAAACTCCTTGTACTGAGGCAGTTTGGCACCCACTGGTGCATTCCATTCTCTAGGAGGCACCAAGGGTTGATTCCAAATCAGCCAAATAATCTTGGATATTTTTAGTCTTCTCAACGAGGGTTTTCCACTTTTTACTGGAAGATGCAAGAAAAAGTCCTGCAAATAGGACTTGGTTAGGGAGTTCTGCAAATAACTTCTCTGTGCTTCCGTCTTTTCCCCTGTGAATTTATAATTGGATGACTCCAGAGGTCAGAAGATGAAAGATACTACCCGCTTTCAGCCAGAGAAGTGATCAACTTAAGATATAGAATGAGCATACATTTTTAAACATGATCAATTGTAACAATTTGATTTATTTGTTATGAAGGTTTTGTTTTGGTTTTATTGTTCAGTTGGAGGAAGGCAGTGGAAGGAAGAGATATTACATGCTTTTTTTTTTTTAGAGAATAAATAAATTATTAAAAAGATAGGGTCCCTTCCAGCTCTTAAGTTAAACCTTAAGGATGAGCTTTTGGCACTTTTGGAAACATCTCCCTATGGCCTATAAAAAGAGTCAGATTTCTTAGGGATTACTTTGTAAGTAGCCCCAATTTTAAGAGAGTAAATCTAGAGATGGAACAGAATGCTAGCCATCTAGTCCAATACCCTAATTTTACAGATGAGGAAACAGATCCAGAGAAGTATCCAAAGTTACATAGGTAATTGGTAGAGCTGGGATTCAAAATCAGGCCCTGCAACTAATCCCATTCAGCATTTTTTCTATTGTACCATAATGGCATCTTGTGATGAGTGAAGTAGCATCAAAGGTCCAAAAGCCAAGCTACTGATTTTTCATTTCTTTATTGCAGTGAACTCACATAAGATGTCCGTCTTACAACCCCAATTTTTTTTCTTCTAGAGTAAAGGGGGTCTCCGTGGGATAAGGAGGAACTCCTCAACAAGGTACCAATAGACACATTCATGTCCTCCATAGGGAGATGCTTTCAAAAGGGTCAAAAGCTTCTTGAACTCTGAATCCAGTACTCTTTTGATACATCCTCTCTGGCATCACCATGTTGTAGTAATTGGTATATGGGACATGAAGTCTAAAAGACCTGGGTTCAAGTTACTCCTCCAACACATTACTATGTAACTATGTATAAGTCACTTATCCTTTCAGAGCCTCAGCTTCTTCTTTAAAATGGGGACAGTAACACTTATATAAAAGCTTCTAGATCCACAGTTCCTTCTCCAACCCCTCTCCAGAAGACACATTTATCATTTTTAGCTCTGTGTCCAAAAGCTGAGGCCCTTAAAGTCACAGTTCCTGCTTAGAATGCTCCTTCTAGGCTTGATACTGTTACTACCAGCACTTGTGAGTAGAGTTAGGGAAAGTGGATTAGAAGAACAAAATAAGCAATAGAAAATACAGTGAGGTCCAGAAGACACTAAATGGTGAGTAATAACAGGCACCTCTAATCTCTGTAGCGATTGTAGGCTACAACATAAGTGATGGTTTGTACATAAGTAGTGGAATAAAAGATATCATCCCAAAAATGTATGGTCAGAAAAGGAGGTGGGATGAAAATGTAGAAAGAATAAAGGGTAGCATGTGTTTACTGATGTCTACCCAATGTCAAAAGACCTAGATGAATGCCTACAGCATATTGTGTAGAGCTTCTGTGGAAGTCTCATGTAAGGATATAAATAAGAATTGTACATAATGAGAAAGTATGGATGTATTGTGATCTGCACCAATGGAAAGATCACCAACATTGATGAGATTACAAATCATTAAAGCATTAAGCACATAATTAAGTTGCTGCCTAATTTTTTAATCTATTAGATAAAAGAGATAAGTTAAAATAAGAGATATCTAGATATCAGCTAGATAATAAAAGGAAGCCAAGTAATAACATGGTCTTCTCTCTTAGAATTTTTGAACAAACCTCCTCAAGAAGTTCAAAGATTAGATGGAAGTTACTTGTGGGCCTTTGATGCAGTTTTGTTCTAAAGTCCCACAGCTTAGTAGTGCTTTGAATGTCTCAAGTTTCTCTAACTTGATATCTTTAAAATAGATCCACTTATGACTTAGAAAAAAAGCAGGTTAGATTACATATTGATTGAGACAAATTAGAAATTTATGAATGAAATAACTTAGGAGTTTTACTTAAGTGTTTGAATTTAAGTCCTGTTCAAAATTGTGTATCATCTATTAACATATAGTAGTAGAATCATGAGAAACAGTATTGCATGGTGTGCTGGTCATAGAGTCAGGGAAACTTGGGTTCAAATTTTGTCTGTAGCCACTTACTAGTTATGAGGCCCTGAACAAGCCATTTAACCTCTCTGTGCCTTGGTTTCCTCATCCGGGAAATAAGGGGTTGGACTCTATGACTTCTAAGATCCCTTCTAACTCTAAACTTATGAATCTATGATTCTATGGTTCAAGAGTTGCCTATGACACATATTTGTGTTACTTTGGACAAATTACTTTATTTCTCAGTGCCCCTAGGCAACTCACTTAGATCTTGAACTGCAAGCATATTGTCCATCTGCTTTGATGGAAGCAGTTTCTACACTAAGAATACAAATTTTATGAAATCACAGGCTGACATTCATCCCTCCTTAGCCCCACCTCCTATTCCCTTCCCTAGTTCCACTGGATTCCACTGCCCAGTTGGTAGCAGCTTATCTACATTGCAGAGGAAAAATGGCTAAAGGGCTAGCCTTATAAGCCTAATTTGAAAATGTCTCAGGAAATTGAATGGTAACTAATTACATATGGTTAAAAGATAAAGTGTCTCATCCTTAAATACGTTGTAAAATGGGTAGAAAGTAATCCCTCTTCCTACCCTCTACCTCACCTAAGAACCTATGAGATAGTCTCAGCCTAAGATGGTAGGCCAGCAACATGCAGGAATGCCCGCCCAAATTAAAATGTATTTAGGAAATAATTAGCGAAATAAGTCAAATGCAATAGAACATAATGTTAATAATGGTAATGAGTGGTTTCCTAAGTCAATATGCTTCCATAGGCATCATTATACACTATTTAGTGACCCAGTTTCTATTTGAGTTTGACACCACTGGTCTAAACTCTCTTTGTACTCCTATCCAATGGGGGTCTCACACATAAACGGACTACATGAGCTTGCTCTGCTGATGAGGAGCTTGCTTTTGGGAAAGTTGTCATGACACTTAAGAAAGTGTCATGTGGAGACTGCATAGATATCCTGTAACTGGTTTCAGTTGGCTAATCATGTGGTTGGGAAGTGGTTTTTTTTTTGTTTGTTTGTTTGTTTGTTTTTTGTTTTTTGACTGACTGAACAATTTGCTCTGGGGGTGTCTTCAAAAATTTCCAAGTCAGTTTCTGCTGCCTTTCTTTACTTCATTCAGTGACTCCACTCACAGAATCTGGTGAGAGACCTCTCCCCTTGGAGCCTCTTCCTTTTCATTGGGTGTGGCCTTAAGAAACAGCTCTCAGTCCTTCGCCTCTGCATTTCTACTTTCCCCTCTAGGTGAAAGAGATTAGAACCTTCAACTCTGTGAATTCAAAAGGTCTTGCAGATGGCTCCAGCACACCAGAAGTCTAGAATCTGGGTTCCAGAATCAGTGCAGCATTTATGTTCCAAGGAGTGAGGAGTGATGTCTTTGAACCCTGATCCAATGGTGAATGAGACAAAGACTTATCTGGCAGAGATGTCACCTTTCAGTTTGATTTTGGTAGCACCATTAATCTATAGGAGATTAATTAAATAAAGCACACTCCTTTGTAAAAGCTAACTCATGTGAAGTGATTAAATGTAACTGTGGCCTCATCACTGGCCCCTAACAATTAAAGGGCCCTTTGGGGCTTAAGCGAGTGGCAGCAGAGAAG